GAAGGGGCCGTGGAGGGGGAGGGCTTGGGAGAAGGCCAGAGGAGAAAGAAGGCTGCCTCCCCGGTTCCGGGGAGCTTCATGGCTGTCCGCCCTTCCCTCTCCCATGCCCCCCGGAAGCTTACCCATGTCTTTTTACTATTTGCCACCGGTTCCCCGAGGCAGCCCCAGGGGTGACGCCGAGGACTCGGAAGGGCGCCCCCCCCCCTCCAAGCGCATCTGCGCCAACGCCCCCCGACCCCTGAGAAGCTGGTATGTCTTTTTCTTTTTTTCCCCAGGGGCCCCTTTGATTTTTTACAAATAAAGACCCTTTTGTAATGTTGTGTCATGTCATTTCCCGGTCAGGGCTGGGGAGGGTCTGTGGAGCCAGCTTTGTCTCCTGCTCCACTTCTCAGATGGTGTCACTTGAAGCTCTGAGAGGATCTTCCTGTAGTCACACCATGAGTCGGATATGGAATGGGGGCTTGAGCCAGGACCCTGTCTCCCTGACACTCCCTCCACCCTGCCCTGTACCCCTGACCTTTGACCCTTCCTGACCTTCAGCCAGAGGAGGAATCCAGGGACCTGGGCCCAGCAATGACCAAAGCTCTGGGCACCAAGGCCCAGGATTCCCATCCATACACAGGGACATGGAGGCCAAGAGGGACTTCGGGGCCGGGATGGCCCAACCCGTCCGCTGCCCTCAGGAAGCTGCAGCATCGTACCTCGCTGCCTCTGCGTAGTCATTCCTCCCCGGAACCTGCCCACACTCGGGGTTGCGTCTTATTTGTCCCCAGCTCCATCACCACCTCCTCCAGAAAGCCTTCCTTGGCCCCAGGCATAGTCGGTTTCCCTTCTTTTGGGCTCCCTCTGTGCTTCCTTCCCTTTGCCTCAGTATTTATCAGGCTGTTTGGGCTGGCTGGCTTGTGTGTCTTCACAAGGTATGAGCTTCTGAGGGCAGAACTTGGTCCCCAGTTTTCTTAGCACCAAACTGGGCACAGAGCTGTCATAGCAACTGTTTGGTGAATAAATGAATGAATGAATGGGCTGAGGCTATCCAGGAAGGCTTCTCTGAGGAGGTGGCACATGAGCTAAGCTCTGAGACATGAACCTCAGTGTGCTAGTGAGACATGAACCTCAGTGTGCTAGAACTGAAGTCAGAAGTCCTGGTCCAAGTCCTGGCTCTGTTACTAGCTGTGTGGCTCTGCATGGGCTATTTCCCTTCCCTTAATTTATCTGAGCAATGGGGGCAATAACTAGACCTCATCTGTCCCAGTGGTTTATGGGAACCTTCAGATAATGTAAAGCACCGTCATTATTCTGTGCCTACAAAAGAGTTAGGGTCAGGTGTATTAGCCCTACTTTTATATTTTATTTTATTATTATTTTTTAAATCCTCACCTGAAAATATGTTTATTGATTTTAGAGAGAGGAAGGGAAAGAGAGAGAAACATCGATGTGAAAGAGGCACATTGGCCGGTTGCCTCCCATATGCGCCCCGACCAGGGATCAAGCCCGCAACCTAGGTATGTGCCCTGACTGGGAATCGAACCCCCAACTTCTCAGTGTACAGGGTGACGCTCCAATCAACTGAGCCATCTGGCCAGGCCCAGCCCTGTTTTTATTTTTAACAAAGGAAGAGACTGAGGTTCACAGAGAACCAAATTGGGACTTTAAAGAACTATTAAAAAATATAAGGGTGATTCACGACAGCAGCTGCAGTAGTAGCAGTTGAGCAGAGCTGGCCAGGTGTGTAGTGATGTGATATATTCATTTTCTGTTGCTGCTATAACAACATACCACAAACTTAGTGGCTAAAAACAACACAAATTTATTAACTTACTGCCTAGAGGTCAGAAGTCCAAAGTAACTGTTAACGGGTTAAAGTCTGGGTGTCTGCGGGGCTGGTTCCTTCCTGTGGCTCGTCCCCTGCCTTCTCCCGTTTCTGCAGACCTCCTGCATTTTTTGGCTCCGTTCATCTTCAAACCTAGCAGCATAACA